GGTGACTTGCTTCTAACAAATAGAATTTGGCAAAAGTAATGCAATGTGACCCAAGTGTAGGTCGTGAAAGGATAGCTTCTACTTGGTTCTCCCTCTAAGATCGCTGCCTCTGGGTTAGGCCATCTGTTATGTTGTGAGGACATCCAAGCAGCCTGTGAAGAAGTTCAGGTAGACTGGAACCAAGTCTGTTTGCCAAAAGCTACCTCTGGTTTGCCAGGCATGGAGTGCACCATCTTGGAAGCAGATTCTCCAGCCCAGTCAAGCTCTCAGATGACTGCAGCCCAGCTAATGTCTTAACTGTAAATTCATGACAATACCAAGCCAGAACTGTTCCATGAAGCTGCTTACAAATTATAAGTTCTGTCTCACAGAAACTATAAGATAATAAATGTCTATTGTTTGAAGCCATTAAGTGTTGGGATGATTTGTTCAACAGCAATAGACAATACAACCATCTTGATCTTCATTCCTCCCCACCAATGGGCCTAGTAAAACCCCAATACTGGTCAAATCTAACTTTCATCTATTCCATGACTGCACTCCAGCTGCTGATTGTGGCTAGGGAAAAACACGCGACTCAGCTGAAAGGTCTCCCTTTAAACCCATGATCTTTGACCTCAGGAGGACCATATTGCTGCTCAGAAATCCTACAATCTCACCCACTGGCAAGTCACTCTCCTACTTTTTGTGATAATTGTATTACACTCCTCTCTTCTCAGGTCTTAACTCTCCCTTCTTCTAACATTTAGCCAATGGTGTATTTTTTTCCCCACTGAGGAAATAGAAATCAGAAAAAAAAATCCTTATCCTTCCACCACCAAAAATATCATCCTCCAGTATTCAGGCTCTAATACTCCGCCTTCCCTCTTATGGTGAATGGATCATCTGTGTGTCTGTCTGAGGCCAGGCCCTCCCCATTGTACACTGGATCTCTCTCCTTCTTGCTTATTAAAAGTCATGACTCCAGAAATTATGTGCTCTCTCCTCCACATGGTCAAATTTTCTCTCTTTTGGGCCATTCTCATCAGCACGTTAATGGAATATAACTCTCACCTTTAAAACAAAAAATGTCTTGACCCTACCTTCCCCCGCAGTTACTCCACCATTTGTCTGCTAACCATTCATAGCAGAACTTAAAAAAAATTATCTGTACTATTTTTGTTTCTTCCCCTCCTATTCTCTGTCACATACACTCCAATCAGGGTTGTGCCTCTCCCATCAGAATAAAACCACATTTATCAAAGTTCCCAAAGATTTCTATGCTGACAAATTCAATGGTCAATTCTCTGTTCTTATATGACCCATCAGCAGCAATTAAAGTCACTTGATTACTCCCTTCTTGAACACTTTCTTCAGTTGCTTCCAGACTCCAGTCTACTAATCTTCCTTTTACTACACCAACTGTTCCTTTTCCATTTCCCTTTCACGAGCTTTGAGATTGGAATGCTCTAGAACTCAATTCTTGGATTGCCTCTCCTTTTCTTTCTTTCTTGCATTTCCCCTCTTCTCGCTTCCTCCTGGGGTGGCCGTATCTGGTTCCATGGCTTTAAACACCATCTATACACTGCAAGCCCCCTTATTTATATCTCTAATCCAGAGCCTTTCCTGGAATGAATCAAGGCAAAGCATGTATTCAGCTTTCTCCCTTTTTGGCACATTTATGCCCACCTCTCTGTGGTTTCTCTTCTCCTGATAACCAGATTTTTCATACTCAAGGGTAACTGATGGGATTAAAACACAAGCTAGTACTCAGCACTGTGCCTTCACATAATAGAAATATTAATCAAATGTAATGAAATTATTCCTTTCGGGAAACAATATTTACATTTAGCCTACAGGCAAAGTTTCGTCTCTCTACTGATGAAATTTCAGATATGGCAGATACAATTTCATTCTAATTAGGCCTGGGATAGAAAGGGAGGTATATGTGGATTTTTGAGGGTGAGAAATTCAGAATCTCTCAAATGTTGACCATTGACTCAATCTTGCTGTAGAATTGTATTTGGTGCTTAGCTTTTTTGGTTTTGTTATAGTCAAGATCTGGAGGGCCCCACCTTGAATTTTAGTGGTGCCTGCCTTGCTGTGGTAGTTCCATAATTAGGTCATGGTATTGACAAGTTGTGAATTCATTTTCACTTAGCTTTTCAGATACACAATTCTTAAGCCACAACCCTTTGCTTGGCCCAAAATCATGGATATTTCAATCTAAAGATGCAAGTTAGACTTTAACATTTGACTGAATCATTTTCAAAAGTTTCACATGTTAGAACCTCCATAAGTAAGAATGTAATTTTACTTCCCTCCACTTTACAACAATAAGGTGAGACTCAATGAGGTGACAACAGTGTGGAAGTCAGGGGCACTGAATCAGTCTGGGTCTTGTCACTCCAGATAGTGAGAAAGTTGGGTGAAGGGGTTGTTTGCAGGGTTCAGGTGAGCAATGAAAGTGAGGAAGCAAGGGAACATAGTAACAAGTTCCAGGGACAAGCAACAACAGGGACTTGTTATCGCCTCTGGGCTCAAGGGGCAAATGTGGAGTAGTGACCAGATCCCAGGGGCAGCTGCAGCTAGAGAGGGTTTGAGACAACAGCCTTAACCAACCATCAGCCCCACAAGGTTGGAGTTGGCAGAATAAACATCCTAACCTCCTTCTCCTTCCTTTCTTTTGTCAATGCCTCCCAATGGCCAAACCAGAAGCCAGGGGGCAAGGTAGCCTCTTGGTATATAGATCACACAGGCCAGCCTCCTGGATCTCAGAGCAGCGGGGAGAAGGCTGAAAAGTAGAGCTGGGGGAGCCAATGGAGAATATCTTGCAAACTTGTTCTGAATAACAACTTCAGAAATTGAAGCTATTAGAAGGCAATATTCTCAAGATGGGTGGTTCATGACCTCGGTCCACATTAGCAAAAACAACTAAAGCTGATATTCTATTTCAGGGTGGGGTATGTGATGGTTAAATTTATGTGTCAAATTGACTGGGCTAAGGAATGCTCAGATAGCTGGTAAGACATTATTTCTGATGTGTGTGTGAGGATGTTTCTGGAAGAGATTAGCATTTGAGTCAATAGACTGGATAAAGAAGACTGCCCTCCCCAACCCAAGTGGTGTCAATGATCCAACCTGTTGAGTGCCCCGATAGAACACAAAGGGGGAGGAAGGGTGAATTCTCCTTCTTTCTTCTTGAGCTAGGATGTCCATCTTCTCCTGCCTTCAGCCATAGAAACCCCTGGTCCTGGAGTCTTTGTACCCCATGACTTATACCAGTGGATCCCTGGGTTCTCAGGCCTTCGATTGGACTGAAGGATACCACTGGCTTTCCTGTTTCTCCAGCTTGCAAATGGCAGATCATGGGACTTCTTAGCTTTCATAATCATGTGAGTCAAGTCTTATAACTATAACTATAACTATAACCATATATATATATATCTCCTAGATTTTATATATATATCTCCTATTGGTTCTGTTTCTCTGAGGAATCCTGATTAGCATATAGTATTAGAATAATCTATATGTATATGAAACTGCAAGTCTGTTCCCCAACCATGCTTATATGACAGGGATGAGATTTACTGAAGTGTGAGTATTCCAGGGAGAGTTCTGGCTTAATAACTGTTATCCAGATATCCTGGGATATGGAATTGGGAGAACAAGTGGGAAGAGAGACTGGAGGAAACAGCACACAAGAGGCTAAGTCACCCCCCATAACAAAGAGCTCAGAAAGAGGGGAGATGTTAGGGTGCTGGAGAGAGTATAGGAGCTTTTGACTTGTAAAGGCCCTTGAGTAGCTATGGATGTGAGAGAATTAGGGAGGAGAAAAGAGGATTTTAGAAAAATCTTGTGAAGTGTTTGTATCCCTTCAACAGATATAAATAAATATTGGAATGTCTTTTAAAGTGACTCGCAGTTGTTGAACCGTGTTTCTTTATATGACCTCCAAGCGAGCCAAGGCCACATGGGACTCATATTTTTATTGGAGCTGCACTTAAAGGCCTCTGGACTGTTTTGGCAATTGAGGACTAGCCAGAAACCACTCTACTCGCCGTGCTGCCTATCCTCTGCACGGAATGCAAGAACGGAATCTTCTGAGGACTCAGCTTCCTTTCAGGCTGTGGTACCTTACACAGGATCACTGTCAAGTGGAGGGGATAACCACTTCACGCAGAGGCCAGAGAGGATAACAAGTCATTCATGATCATCCACCAGGCTGCCTAAAGGAGAAAGGAGGCATAATACCCCAGGTCTCCCACTCCCTGTGTGATCTGCATTCTACTCAGCTGACTGGCTGCTGATTCTGTTTCCTTCCTTTCTAGAAAGCGAAGAGCCATCTCCCCTTTCCTTCCAGAGAAGGCTAAGACTTTTGCCAAGGGCCTATGTGGGACAAGACCAAAGTCTGAGCATTTTCAAAATCATTTCTTTTGAGTCTTTAATTCCTTTCATGAAAGCAGTTTAAATTGCATGGGGGTGAGGGACCAAGCCCAAGTACCAGGACTTGGGAGTCTGAGCATTAAGTCATGCCATCTATACCACATTCTGAATTTCCCAGCCAGGCAGCACTCCAGTGCCAGAGGCTCTGATCAGGATGAGATGTTTCCCAATGTGGGCCAATGAAATGTGGGGAGAGATGGACTGACGGGTCCTGGTAAGAGGCTTCCACTTTCTTTCACGGGAACTATCAAAATGGCGGCTTGCATTCTTTCTCCTGAGAGGGAATAAAAGTGCATACAGCTTTGGCTGCTGCTGGTGACCAAGTTGCAACCTCGAAGGCTAAGAGTCTTAGGATGAAGTTGACAATGTGGAGGAGGGTGAGAAGACAAAACACACACACACACACACACAAGGCCGATGGATCAGACCTTGCTGAAACTACCTTGAACTTTTTTATTGTCATGGAATGATAGCTTTATTGTTTAAGCCAGTTTGAGCTGCGTTTTGTTATTGCAATAAAGATCGTCCATCTTCCTGATTGATACCTAGTGGCAGCTCAGACTCTGTGCTGCAGGCTTCGGGAAGGCCCAGTCTGGTCTGAAAAGATTCTGTCCTGACATAGGTGATGTGTCACTGCGTCATTGGATTTTAACCCTTTTAAGGAGGAGGGAAGGTCAGGCAGGCTCATCTCAAAGTTTGAGGGGAGGGAGTGATGAGTCCATCATTCAGCAAAGGCATGGCTGAAAGGACACCTCCTGTGCCTGAACGTGGCATTCTGGGAGCTCAGAGGGCTTGGGCTGCTAGAGCCAGGTCGGCCATGTGCTCCTTGTCCGGGGTTCCTAGGAATCCACAGAAAGGTGTTAGGAAATCCATGCAACCCTGACAGTGTATGAGAAATTTTGTGTGTCTATATTTTTATTTAAATGTTATAAAGTCCTCTAAATCCACCTGCCTGGGTTTCCCCTTGCCATAAAATAGGAGCAACAAGCAACTACCCCTCTTCCTTCTTACTCCCCAGAATAGGTGAACATCTGAAAGATCATAGATGGTAGATAAACCTATTAGATAGAAAAATCTTTTTTAAGTTACCAGGGACTTTGCTAAGCTACTGGAAGAGGAGAGCAGGGGGCATGTCCTGAAGTGAAAAAGTCTATCAGAAAGTGAAAACAGCCACAAGCTTAGTTGAAGGAGAATAATGAAGATTAGACCTGACCTCTGTGTAGACAATCCAGCTGTTTGGATGCACATGAACATGTACCCACATATGCCACATGCCCTGTGTGAGTATGGGATAACAATGAACACTTGCATTGTCTCATGGTTTTCAATGGGCATTTCCAAAGCATGCCTCCTATGGGCCATGGCCACTGGGTCTCATGTTTCCCCCTGGTTCAGAAAGTGCAGCCCCCAGGGTCCCTCAATAAATGGTGATACTATGACCCAAGGTCAGGTATGCTGTTTCCTCTTTTAGTGCTCTAACCTTTAGATCAGGGTTTGTAAACCTGACTGATTATCAGCATCACCTGGATGCTTCCCTACAATGCAGAGTCTTGGGCTCAGCTCCAGCCCTAGAAACTCTGATTCAGTATGTCTGGAGTGGAGCCTGGATATCTGCATTTCTGGAAGCATCCCATGTGAATTTAAATACCACTTAGGTTTTTGGAACAACTTTAAAAGAGCACTGGGTGTATACGTGTGCGTATATGTGGGCATGTGTCCTCCCTCAGGCAGGCCTAGCAAACCTGTAGAACAGGTAATCCATCTTGGATGTCTCTCATTACTCTTTTAGAGCTCTTCTACCCTTTGGCCATCCTTCCTGATGCCTCATGGTTCCTTTCCTAACCTCTCATCAGATGGTAGCTTAGTCTCAATTTTAGCTACCATCTGAGAGGTTTAGGGGCGGCACACTGTCACGGTGGGATATTAGGGATGGGTAATCATTCAGGTTCAAGAGTAGTAAATCTCTAATGGTAGAATTTTAGGCTTTGGGACAAATTGGATGTGGGAGATGTTTTAGGGAGGGGAGACGTCTTACCACACTGTGTAGTGACTGTATATTTGTCATGACAGCTCTCCACCACAGAACTCCCACATGCATATCATATGCTTGTATGCATACCATACAAACATAATATCCACAAAACTCAGAATGAAAAATAAACACATAACAAGCAGGTGGGTTTTTAGAGCATGCAATCTTTTTTAAGGAAAAAAAATTATGAAAGCACTTTAGTGTCAAGTCTCTCCACACGGCATGCTCTTGAAGCTGGAAGAGAGGCCTGCAGAAATACGAATTTGTCATGGAAACGCTGACAGTGCTTCATTCGAGGGATGCTCACAGGTGCAGCCTGGAATGGCACAGCCTCTTGTGGCTTATTTACATCCTAGTCCACTGAATGAATTCTTTTTTCCTGTTTCCTGGCCCATGGAAAGTCAGCTGGCCTTCCAGGGAACTGGGGGGTTCTTATCAGGGACATGGCTATGTCTCTCTTGGTGGTAGTTTTCAGATGTCTGAAGCAGGGAATGTGGGGGGAAGACGGGGTCTTAGGATTAGTTTCACATCTAGGAGGAGTAGAGAAAGGAAAGAAGGAAGGAGGGAAGGGAAGGAGGGAGGGAGGGAAGGAGGGAGGGAGGAAACATAGTCTTTAAGTGGCAAGCACAAGGCTAGAAACATAGGCAATATCTTCATGTCTTTACCACCATTGCTGTAACCCAGTGCATTCTAAAAGGTAATTTCTATGTTACAGAAAAAGAAACAGGATGGAAACACCCGGAGTGGGAGCTTACAACCACATCTTTGGGTAGACCAGGTGACTGGACCGTGTAAGGGTTAGGAAGCTGTCCCTGAACCCATCATTTGTGTCGATGCCGAAGGCCTCGGGCAGGGCCCAAAGGTCTTCCCTTGACAAGAAGTGAGAAAGATGGGAAGGAAGTTCCTTCTGGGAGAGGTTGCATAGTGATCACTCTTGGTCCTGTCAAGGGGTAGATGACTGGCCACAGACCTTGTGCCATGGGCAGTCTCAAGGGTGTGCACTGGGTCCCTGAAGATATAGATTCTCTCTTCTTCCAAACTAGGCCCCAGGAGTCCTGGCAGGAGCCAGAGAAGGGCGTCAGCTGCTTTATGGAGTAAATGGGCAGGGCCTGTGAGGTCTGGGGAAACAAAAGGTAGTTTCTGTCTGCGGGAAGTTTCCATTTGGTGGGGAAATTGTGATCACATAGGGGCTCCCAATCCAATCTGACAAGGGAGGCAAGAGCTCTGCACATGAGAGGTTCAAGAAAGAGAGAAGATAGAAGGCACAGCCCATGCATCCCAGGGCTCACAGTCTGGAGAAAGAAAGACCTATTTCTTCAGTCCTGGCCCCACGATGCCCCCTGACCAACCATCTCAGGAATTGAAGCCAACAACCCTGCCCTGGACCATGGCAAGAGCTAGGATGAGACAGACCCCGCAGCCCTCTCTTCTGTGCCTGCCTGTTCTCAATGCGCCCTCTGCAGCCCTTTCTGTCAGAGCTGTCTACTTCTGGGAGACCTGCAGCTTTGGCCAGGCCCAGAGGCTCTGCTGGGAGGCTGGTTTGCAATCAGGGCTGTTGTGACCAAGCCCACCTTTCCTATCCCACCAGGAGCCTCAGGAGCTTGGGAGACATTCCAGGGCTGGCTCTGACATGAATTCATTGCTCAGTGTGCCAGGCGATCAGAGCTGACTCCTCTCCCTTCTCCCTTGGAGGTGTTGATAGTAACAGCAGAGATGAGCTGCCAAGTTGGCAGGAGAACAGAGAACAACTGAGCGACTGTGCATTGCGGATTGAGGGGGGCAGGGAGCAGTGAGCCAGCTGAGGGCTGGGCCAGAGTAGCAGTTTGTTTATCCTGAGATCTGAATCGAAAGGGTCCCTCCAGGCTGGGCAGCCAGCATCTTGCACCAGGAGGGGAGACTCTGGGGAAGAGGAAAGTCTCTCTGACTTTCCTCCAAGGGAGGCCAGGAACGGTGGTGCAGGGGGCTCCAGGATCTGGGTGCTGCAAGAGTTGGTGGGAGGGCGCTCTGGCTGGGCCCGAAGCCACCAGCCAGCCTGGACCCTAGGGGCATTCCAGCCTCAGAGGCAGGATAGAGATCCACCTTTGTTCCTGCTGTTGATGAAGCAGCTGTGGTGGGGACAGCTGGGGTGGGGAGCTGTGAGCCTGAAGCTGCTTGCTCCGAAGAGGACCTTAGGAAGACACCCATGCTGTCAATCATTTGACCTCATCAAGCCTCAGATACTAATATCTACTTCAGAGCTTTGTGTGAGGATTCAACAAAGCAGTGACAGCAAAAACTTACCTACTGCTTACTCCATGGTAGACTGTTCTAAGAGCTTTATGCGTATAAATACTAAATCTTCAAATGACTTTATCAGTTGGGTACTATTATTATTCCCATTTAATTTTTTATTATTTTTAAAAAAATATTTTATTCATTTATTCTTTTAGAGAGAGGGGAAGAGAAGGAGAAAGGGAAAGAAACATTGATACCCACCCCTTGCATGCTCCCAAATGGGGACCTGGCCCATAACCCAGGCATGTGCCTTGACTAGGAATCGAACCGGCAACCTTTCAGGTCACAGGTCAGTACTCAATCCACGGAGCTGCACTTGACAGGGCTATTATTCCCATTTTATTAATAAAATAACTGAGGCACAGAGAGTTTAAATAATTTACCCAAGGTCACAGAGCTCTCACAATGACTCCCCCAAAACAGTTCCAAACAGGGGACCCAGGCTCCTGATATCATTCTCAGGGACTCCATGGGGCCCTGGGGTTGTCTTCCCTGCCATCTTTGTTCCTCACTACCTTGCTTATCCTACGAGCTAGAACATTCTTCCTTTGAGAACCCCTGGTCTTCCCTGTTCTCCTCCTCCTCCCCTATCCCCCTCCTTCTGCCTGAGGCAGAGCAGAGGAATTCTCAGCTTCCTCTAGTTACCCTCAGCCTGCAAAGAAAACAATCTGCTGTGTCTGCTGCCAGTTCTTCTCTTGTGACAGCCATTTGCTCAGCACCATCCCCAACCTGTGCTGTAGGTAGAGCTGGGAGCCTAGGGCTGGACCCCACTGTCCTGCATGAGACCCTGGGCCAATCACCTTAGGGTTGGGCCCTGGCGGTCACTGAAAGGGAGAGGCCTCGGCCAAATAATCCGTTGAAGACCCTTTCGGCTCTAAGAGCTATAACTGAAGGTTGATGTGCTGCATTCACAATTTCTTCCTTGGGGTAGGAAGCCCAGTAGATAGACATGTTCCCCAAATTTTGGAGGAGTTCAGGAATGCAGTCTTGCAAATTAGTAACCAGCTTTATAAGTCCACTGAACCCTGCTACTGGCCACCCTTGCCTCTCAGGAGGTACTTTTGCCACATTCTGGGCAGCCAGCCAGAGCTCCCTCCTGTCAGCTGGGAGACAGCCAAACCAGAGCCAGGAGCCTGGATTACTGACTGCTTCCTAGGCCCAAGTTCCTCCCTGGGACAGTGAAACCCCAATTGTCAGCACACTGTATAGATGTCTCAGAACAACACTGTTTTGTTCACGTGGGTATGTTGGCTATAGACTCACACTTCTACTTGTTTCTTTAGGTAACGATGGATGACAGGAGGCAACCTGGTGGGATAGGGAAGCTGAGGTGGAAACTCTGCCATGGATAACTCAGAAGGAAGTGGAATGTTCTAAATTTTATACCTGGAGAACAGAGAAAGCAGGGATATGGTACATTCTAGTTAGAAACCTGTAATTAAAAGCATGTTCAGCCACCAGGAATCAGCTGGAGCATGGTGGTCACTAATTATGAACAAAGGGGGCTGTCACAGCCCAACAATGTTCTCCATG